CAATCAAAAGGTTGAGGGAGATCATTTTTTTAAATTTCTTTTATTGCTTTTATTTCCTTGTGTGCTGGGTATTTTTATCTGACATTTATAATTGCTCCCCCCCCCCCCCCTCTGTGTTTTATAAGAGGCTTAAAGTTGTCTGCTGCAAGTAACCGGCACGTTACCGGCATCATGTGACCGGCATAAAGTGACCGGCATCATGTGACCGGCATAAAGTGATCGGCGTAAGGTGACCGGCAAATTACCGGCATTAGATGATTTGAAGAGATCTACCGGCAAATGACCGGCATTAAGTGACCGGCTGCAAGTGACCGGCTACAAGTGACCGGCTACAAGTGACCGGCTACAAGTGACCGGCTACAAGTGACCGGCTACAAGTGACCGGCATTAAGTGACCGGCATTAAGTGACCGGCTACAAGTGACCGGCATTAAGTGACCGGCATTAAGTGACCGGCTACAAGTGACCGGCTACAAGTGACCGGCTACAAGTGACCGGCTACAAGTGACCGGCATTAAGTGACCGGCATTAAGTGACCGGCTACAAGTGACCGGCATTAAGTGACCGGCATTAAGTGACCGGCTACAAGTGACCGGCTACAAGTGACCGGCTACAAGTGACCGGCTACAAATGACCGGCATTAGTTCGTTTGAAGAGATCTACCGGCAAGTGACCGGCATTAGAAATAAAGGTTTGGGTTGGTGACCCACTCTCTTATGACCCGTATGACCCAGACCCGTGTTGAGCCAGTCCACCTCCCTTATGACCCGTATAACCCAGACCCGTGTTGAGCCAGTCCACCTCCCTTATGACCCGTATAACCCAGACCCGTGTAGAGACAGTTCCACTCCCTTATGACCCGTATGACCCAGACCCGTGTAGAGACAGTTCCACTCCCTTATGACCCAGACCCGTGTAGAGAGAATGTTCCAAACGTTGAAGGTTTGGTTCACAAGACATTGGCTGACCCTATATTTAGAAGTTGTGTTTTTATCCTCTCTAAAATTTGTCACGTTTGGTTCCTAAAATTTGTGAGTAATAAAAATGTGTACCTTAAAAATGTGTACCTTAAAAATGTGTACCTTAAAAATGTGTACCTTAAAAATGTGTACCTTAAGATGTGTACCTTAAAAATGTGTACCTTAAAAATGTGTACCTTAAAAATGTGTACCTTAAAAATGTGTACCTTAAAATGTGTACCTTAAAATGTGTACCTTAAAATGTGTACCTTAAAAATGTGTACCTTAAAAATGTGTACCTTAAAATGTGTACCTTAAAATGTGTACCTTAAAATGTGTACCTTAAAAATGTGTACCTTAAAAATGTTGATCTAATATGTCGCTCCTTAAAAAAATGTTCCCACGCCCAGCTGTTTGTTGTGTCACGTGATTGTTATTTTACGTGATTGGCGGGTCGACAGATCAACATGTCACGTGATTGCCTCGTCACGTGATCATCATGTCTTGTCTCTACAACCATGTCCCACAATTCCGCTTCTTCTGAACAAGTACAGGTAAGGTCCACCCCCCCCCCCCCCCCCAAGGTGTTCACATGACATTTCCCCCTGCCTGTGAACTGCTCGTTGTGTCCCCCACCCACCCACCGCCAGTAAACAAATTAGCCCGGCCCTCCCCTTTCGCTGGTGCACGCCCCACCCTGCGTCCATGCCCCACCCTGCGTCCATGCCCCACCCTGCGTCCACGCTGTCTGGTCCTACGCTGCTCCATCAATTAACGAAGAATATATGCCAGCCCCTTGCAGATAAATAGAGGAAAATGTTTTCCGGGGGAGGGGGAGGGAAAAAATCGATCTCTTACAAAGAAATATTTCCAGTAAAGTAATCGATAGATATGAAGGTTGTGTTGGTAGATGTAGAGGTTGTAGTGTTAAACACAGACAATTTTTAAAATTGTGTTGTCATAAATGACTAATGCGTTGTAGTCTAGGGTAGTGTGTTTGTAGCTTCGTTAGCTAATTAGAAAGCTGATTGTTAATTATTCAATGCTTTGGTTGGATGGTGACATGGTAAGGGTGTATGTGGTGACACTAGGGTTTATTGGTGACACCAAGAGGTGAGATATTATTGGTGACACCAAGAGGTGAGATATTATTGGTGACACCAAGAGGTGAGATATTATTGGTGACACTAGAAGAGTGAGATAGCATTGGTGACATTCAAGCGGTGAGACACGGCGGTGACACTCAAGGCGTGAGATGTATCGAATGGTGACACCAGATTATCCAAACCCAGGCCCACCCATACCTACATGTTATAACTAGCTCAGCATCTGATAATCTACCCCTCCCCACTCTAATGGTAGCCCACCCCCATCCCCCCTTAGTTAGCCAACGACCACGAGCTATAGTCGAAAAATTTCCAAGGGACGAGGGTCATCAGCAGTGTCGTCTTGGCTTCCTATGGGTAGTGCAGGACTTATGGGTGGGGGGGGGGGGCAGGTTTATTGGGTGTGGGGGGGGGCAGGATTAATGGGTGGGGGAGGAGAAGGATTAATGGGTGGGGGAAGGGGCAGGATTAATGGGTGGGGGCAGGATTAATGGGTGGGGGAGGAGAAGGATTAATGGGTGGGGGCAGGATTAATGGGTGGGGGAGGAGAAGGATTAATGGGTGGGGGAGGGGAAGAGTTAAAAGTGGGGGAGGGAAGGAAGGATTAGTGGGTGCGTGTGTAGGATCAATGGGTGAGGGAGGGCAGGATTAGTGGGTGGGGGAGGGGAGGGATTAAATGGTGTGAGAGGGGTAGGATTAGTGGGTGTAGGGGAACAGGATAAGTAAGATGAGGGAGACGGATTTACTGATAGACAGTGCTGGATTACTGAACTTCTAAAGTACAATCCTCCTTCCCCGCCAACATTTGTTTCCGTTGGCTTATTCCGGCCTTGACATTGGACCGACAGGAACTAAATATAGAATTAATCATGACATTCACATTGTGATATTTGTAAAAGCCCGGGAGGGCTTGTAAGAGTTTTGTGATATCCACATTTTGTTTTCCACAACCCGCTTGGGCCGGAGGGGGTCGGGTTTAAATTTAGTTTGGTCGAGTCTCGCGTTTCTTCATACAGTAATACACGTTAACCCTTGCCTACCCGTATACAATGATAAAATAGGTTAACCCTTGCCTACCCGTATACAATGATAAAATAGGTTAACCCTTGTCTACCCGAACACAAAAATAAATATACTTTAATCCATAATGTCAACCTGAACTAAACGATAAAAAAAACTAACAGCTCTCTATACCTGAGCACAACGATTAAATCCCCCCCCCCCAAGCCTCCACCCGCCCTGGGTGAGTACTGAAGTGTCATCTGAGAGAGGGAGGGGCGGTAACCCATGCACTGCTTGACGTGGCGACACCATCGGTTTACAGCCGTACAGCGGTGCTATAAATATGTCGGCCCCTAGTTTCACCTGCAACAGGTAATTAACTCCAATCTCATTTCATACGTGCGTCATCAACACCGGGTCAAAACAATCAAATTCTGCGCAGGTAAAAACAATCAAATTCTGCGCAGGTAAAAACAATCAAATTCTGGGCAGGTAAAAACAATCAAATTCTGGGCAGGTAAAAACAATCAAATTCTGGGCAGGTAAAAACAATCAAATTCTGGGCAGGTAAAAACAATCAAATTCTGCGCAGGTAAAAACAATCAAATTCTGGGCAGGTAAAAACAATCAAATTCTGGGCAGGTAAAAACAATCAAATTCTGGGCAGGTAAAAACAATCAAATTCTGGGCAGGTAAAAACAATCAAATTCTGGGCAGGTAAAAACAATCAAATTCTGCGCAGGTAAAAACAATCAAATTCTGCGCAGGTAAAAACAATCAAATTCTGCGCAGGTAAAAACAATCAAATTCTGCGCAGGTAAAAACAATCAAATTCTGCGCAGGTAAAAACAATCAAATTCTGCGCAGGTAAAAAACAATCAAATTCTGCGCAGGTAAAAACAATCAAATTCTGCGCAGGTAAAAACAATCAAATTCTGCGCAGGTAAAAACAATCAAATTCTGCGCAGGTAAAAACAATCAAATTCTGCGCAGGTAAAAACAATCAAATTCTGCGCAGGTAAAAACAATCAAATTCTGCGCAGGTAAAAAACAATCAAATTCTGCGCAGGTAAAAACAATCAAATTCTGCGCAGGTAAAAACAATCAAATTCTGCGCAGGTAAAAACAATCAAATTCTGCGCAGGTAAAAACAATCAAATTCTGCGCAGGTAAAAACAATCAAATTCTGCGCAGGTAAAAACAATCAAATTCTGCGCAGGTAAAAACAATCAAATTCTGCGCAGGTAAAAACAATCAGATTCTGCGCAGGTAAAAACAATCAAATTCTGCGCAGGTAAAAACAATCAGATTCTACGCAGGTAAAAAAATCAGATTCTACGCAGGTAAAAACAATCAGATTCTGCGCAGGTAAAAACAATCAAATTCTGCGCAGGTAAAAACAATCAAATTCTGCGCAGGTAAAAACAATCAGATTCTAAGCAAACTTCGTGCCTTGTCGTAAACCAATCATTAGTTGCAGACAAATTGATTGGTCGACTTGCCTACCATATCAACGGTTGGCCATTCCTCTATCATTAAGTCATCCACCCAACATTTGGTCATCCACCCTACATTTGCCATCCTACCACCATTTGGCCATTAATTCAACATTTGGCCATCCCTCTATCATTTGGCCATCAATTCAACATTTGGCCATCCACCCACCATTCGGTCATCCACCCAATATTTGGCCACCCTCCCAACATTTGGCCATCCAACCAATATTTGGCCATCCACCCAATATTTGGCTGAAAGAACTCCCGACCGTTTTATCGAGATTTAAAAGAAACTAAATCGTCCAAACCGTCCACGATAAAAATAATCAAATTAATTAAGGTTTTGGGACTCTAAATTAATGAATATTTCTTGTCCATTCTGCCACCATGACCTAGCCCACCCCCTCCTTCCGCCCCACCCCCGGGCCGTGTACTCACAAGTAACAACGTCCTGTTTCGTGTTGAGCAAGACGTTCCTCAGGGCCGCGCTGCTCGTGTGTTCCTCTTGGTTCTTCATCACGGCCTGGGGACAGATGTTCAATGTTCTAGAGAACATTCAGGTGTGGATGTTCAATGTTCTAGAGAACATTCAGATGGGGATGTTCAATGTTCTAGAGAACATTCAGATGGGGATGTTCAATGTTCTAGAGAACATTCAGATGGGGATGTTCAATGTTCTAGAGAACATTCAGGTGTGGATGTTCAATGTTCTAGAGAACATTCAGATGGGGATGTTCAATGTTCTAGAGAACATTCAGATGGAGATGTTCAATGTTCTAGAGAACATTCAGGTGTGGATGTTCAATGTTCTAGAGAACATTCAGATGGGGATGTTCAATGTTCTAGAGAACATTCAGGTGTGGATGTTCAATGGTCTAGAGAACATTCAGATGGGGATGTTCAATGTTCTAGAGAACATTCAGGTGTGGATGTTCAATGGTCTAGAGAACATTCAGATGGGGATGTTCAATGTTCTAGAGAACATTCAGATGGGGATGTTCAATGTTCTAGAGAACATTCAGGTGTCGAGTGTATGTTCTAGAGAACATTCAGGTGTGGATGTTCAATGTTCTAGAGAACATTCAGGTGGGGATATTCAATGTTCTAGAGAACATTCAGATGGGGATGTTCAATGTTCTAGAGAACATGCAGGTGTGGATGTTCAATGTTCTAGAGAACATTCAGATGGGGATATTCAATGTTCTAGAGAACATTCAGATGGGGATATTCAATGTTCTAGAGAACATTCAGGTGTCGAGTGTATGTTCTAGAGAACATTCAGATGGGATGTTCAATGTTCTAGAGAACATTCAGATGGGGATGTTCTATGTTCTAGAGAACAATCAGATGGGGATGTTCAATGTTCTAGAGAACATTCATGTGTGGATGTTCAATGTTCTAGAGAACATTCAGGTGTGGATGTTCAATGTTCTAGAGAACATTCAGATGGGGATGTTCAATGTTCTAGAGAACATTCAGGTGTGGATGTTCAATGGTCTAGAGAACATTCAGATGGGGATGTTCAATGTTCTAGAGAACATTCAGATGGTGATGTTCAATGTTCTAGAGAACATTCAGGTGTGGATGTTCAATGGTCTAGAGAACATTCAGATGGGGATGTTCAATGTTCTAGAGAACATTCAGATGGGGATGTTCAATGTTCTAGAGAACATTCAGATGGGGATGTTCAATGTTCTAGAGAACATTCAGATGGGGATGTTCAATGTTCTAGAGAACATTCAGGTGTGGATGTTCAATGTTCTAGAGAACATTCAGATGGGGATGTTCAATGGTCTAGAGAACATTCAGGTGTGGATGTTCAATGTTCTAGAGAACATTCAGATTGGGATATTCAATGTTCTAGAGAACATTCAGATGGGGATATTCAAAGTTCTAGAGAACATTCAGATGGGGATGTTCAATGTTCTAGAGAACATTCAGATGGGGATATTCAATGTTCTAGAGAACATTCAGGTGTCGGGGTGTTATAGAACATTCAAGGGTCGGGGGGGGGCGTTCTTGAAGATACAGGTGTCGGGTCTAGAAAACTTGAAGGGGTAAAGGTTTAATTTTCTATAGAAAATACTGGCCTAATGGAACATATACGGGTACAGGTTCAATGTTCTATAGAATACACAAGCGTAAATGTTTAATGTTCTATAGAACATACAGGGGTAAAGTTTCAATTTTCTATACACATACATGTTCTGTTCTACAGACATCTGATTTTAATTTTTTTTAATATATAACATACAATCAGTGGCGTAGCGAGGTAGGGTGTCACCCGGTGCGCCACTTAATGGTGTCACCCCCCTAGAGGCGTAGCGACCCTTCCCGGCGACAAACTTTCAAATTTTCGATTTGCACCCCCCCCCCCCTCAAACTTTCGATTTGCACCACCCCCCCCCCCCCCTTCAAGTTTCTCTCTATATATTTTGCTATTTTTTGCCTTGGTGTCACCCCCCCCCTAAATGGTGTCACCCGGTGCGGTCCGCACCCCCCGCCCCCCCCCCCTCGCTACGCCCCTGCATACAATTGTAACTTTTCAATGTTCTACATAGAACACCCAGACTATTCAACTTATTCTTCATTAGCCATGAGAATATCTCCCATTTGTGGCTCTAAGTAAACGACATTACTACGAACCAAAATTACCAGTAATATAAATACGAGCTAATGCGCTAGACGATTAGTTTATTTTAAAACCATGCTCCCCAAATATTTACTCCAAATTAAAACTTTCCATCCCCGGCATCGTCAGTGGACAAACAGGGGAGGGAGATACGAGTAGCTGGCCAATCGATGACCGCTGATACATCGATCTCTGATATTTGCTTGTTTAGTCGATATGAGCGACTTAATTAGGCATCAGATAATGCTGCACCATTGTGTTTACTGTCGTCTGCCCGTTTGGGGGGGGGGGGGGGTATTTGGATCAAACTACGGATGTGGATAAGGCACATATTGTGGATAAATGCGAGTGTGGATGGGATTATGATTATGGATAAACCATCCCATAGAGTCTGTCTAGGCGTATTTGAAAGTACTTTTCCACTGAACTGAATTGTGTTGTAGGAATTATCGTAGAACTATAACCTTAATCGTCCCTAATGTAACAAAACTATAAACTTTATCTTACCCCTAATGTAACAAAACTAAAAACTTCAATTTAAACCCAATCATCACAGTCACATTGGGTCACGTGCTACAAATGATCCAATCATTACTGTGACACGGGGTCACGTGGTACAAACGATCCAATCATTACCTTAAACTCAATGGCCAACTGTTTCTCCTGTCTCTTCTGTCTGTAGACGTTGACAAAGTTGCATGCTGGGATGGCTTCACCGACCACTGAGTCGATCGCGCGCTGCTCACGTGAGTCCGGGTCCATGGACAGACCGCACATGACCTTTAGTTGAGAGACCTTGACCCCAAGACACGACACCAGGTTTTTGCTCATCGTCATGTCCCGGGGGGACGGGACGGGCGCCAGCAACCGGTGGGTCGCGTGGTTTCAACTACATGCCTGGACTTAAGACAGTCAGGGGCGTCGCCATCGGGGGACTGACGAGGGGGTGGGGGTGATCCTGGTAAAATTGTGATGGTCAGTTAGTCCGACGTTCGCTGAGTGTGAAGCCCACCCATGGCTCGTCTTTAACACTGGAGGAACATTTGAGGCTTGCTGAAAGTGAAACAAGGATATCATCATTAGAGTTAAAAATAGCTTTGGTACTTTTCAGTTACAAAATGCCGATGGGTACTGATTGACTAGGGTAAAGCATGTTATAACAATCATTATTTGATCATTTAATTAATGAAAATTGCATCCTAATAATAATCAGCATTTGACAACATACAGAATGAAAAACTCCTATTTTGCAACAAATTGTGTAAACACCTTACAAAGGCTCTCTGTGTTATACTGTAGCATGTGTACATTAAAACAATCGGAATGTATTCAAACCAAACTTCACGTGTACACGTGTACATGTACCAGACTCCTCCCATTATAACCAGACACGTACACCTATAACCCAACCGAACCAAACTACGGTCATAACACAAACGCCTAATCCGTACACTACACCCAAACACTTCCACGAGAACAAATTACCACATGCTATATGTCATTATAGAAATGTACCTAGTTTTGGACCCATTTAAAAAAACGTATATCTAGAATCAAGTAGACAGCGTTAAATTAACCTACCAATTAATTATTTTAACGCATGCTGTACAATCAGCACAAATGACGGCCAGAGTTATAGAAGCGTGAATTTTAACTCCCCGAGTGATCATTAGATGTACGACCTGTTAATTGGACATGCGCTAATTAACTGGACAAATATGGCCGACTGATTCAATGGAATGATCTACCAGACATGATTAGCCTACTGATTTACTGCAATAATCTATCTCACATGATTAGCCCACTGATTTACTGCAATAATCTATCTCACATGATTAGCCCACTGATTTACTCCAATAATCCTACATGATTAGCCCACTGATTTACTGCAATAATCTCACATGATTAGCCCACTGATTTACTGCAATAATCTCACATGATTAGCCCACTAATTTACTGCAATAATCTCACATGATTAGCCCACTGATTTACTGCAATAATCTATCTCACATGATTAGCCCACTGATTTACTGCAATAATCCTACATAATTAGCCCACTGATTTACTGCAATAATCTCATATGATTAGTCCACTGATTTACTGCAATAATCTCACATAATTAGCCCACTGATTTACTGCAATAATCCTACATGATTAGCCCACTGATTTACTGCAATAATCTCACATGATTAGTCCACTGATTTACTGCAATAATCTCACATGATTAGCCCACTGATTTACTGCAATAATCTATCTCACATGATTTGCCCACTGATTTACTGCAATAATCTATCTCACATGATTAGCCTACTGATTTACTGCAATAATCCTACATGATTAGCCCACTGATTTACTGCAATAATCTCACATGATTAGTCCACTAATTTACTGCAATAATCTCACATGATTAGCCCACTGATTTACTGCAATAATCTATCTCACATGATTTGCCCACTGATTTACTGCAATAATCTATCTCACATGATTAGCCAAATGATTTACTGCAATAATCTATCTCACATGATTAGCCCACTGATTTACTGCAATAATCCTACATGATTAGCCCACTGATTTACTGCAATAATCCTACATGATTAGCCCACTGATTTACTGCAATAATATATCTCACATGATTAGCCCACTGATTTACTCCAATAATCCTACATGATTAGCCCACTGATTTACTGCAATAATCTCACATAATTAGCCCACTGATTTACTGCAATAATCTATCTCACATGATTAGCCCACTGGTTTACTGCAATAATCCTACATGATTAGCCCACTGATTTACTGCAATAATCTCACATGATTAGTCCACTGATTTACTGCAATAATCTCACATGATTAGCCCACTGATTTACTGCAATAATCTATCTCACATGATTTGCCCACTGATTTACTGCAATAATCCTACATGATTAGCCCACTGATTTACTGCAATAATCTCACATAATTAGCCCACTGATTTACTGCAATAATCTATCTCACATGATTAGCCTACTGATTTACTGCAATAATCCTACATGATTAGCCCACTGATTTACTGCAATAATCTCACATGATTAGTCCACTGATTTACTGCAATAATCTCACATGATTAGCCCACTGATTTACTGCAATAATCTATCTCACATGATTTGCCCACTGATTTACTGCAATAATCTATCTCACATGATTAGCCCACTGATTTACTGCATAATCTATCTCACATGATTAGCCCACTGATTTACTGCAATAATCCTACATGATTAGCCCACTGATTTACTGCAATAATCCTACATGATTAGCCCACTGATTTACTGCAATAATATATCTCACATGATTAGCCCACTGATTTACTCCAATAATCCTACATGATTAGCCCACTGATTTACTGCAATAATCTCACATAATTAGCCCACTGATTTACTGCAATAATCTATCTCACATGATTAGCCCACTGGTTTACTGCAATAATCTATCTCACATGATTAGCCCACTGATTTACTGCAATAATCTATCTCACATGATTAGCCCACTGATTTACTCCAATAATCCTACATGATTAGCCCACTGATTTACTGCAATAATCCTACATAATTAGCCCACTGATTTACTGCAATAATATATCTCACATGATTAGCCCACTGATTTACTCCAATAATCCTACATGATTAGCCCACTGATTTACTGCAATAATCTCACATAATTAGCCCACTGATTTACTGCAATAATCTATCTCACATGATTAGCCCACTGGTTTACTGCAATAATCCTACATGATTAGCCCACTGATTTACTGCAATAATCTCACATGATTAGTCCACTGATTTACTGCAATAATCTCACATGATTAGCCCACTGATTTACTGCAATAATCTATCTCACATGATTTGCCCACTGATTTACTGCAATAATCCTACATGATTAGCCCACTGATTTACTGCAATAATCTCACATAATTAGCCCACTGATTTACTGCAATAATCTATCTCACATGATTAGCCTACTGATTTACTGCAATAATCCTACATGATTAGCCCACTGATTTACTGCAATAATCTCACATGATTAGTCCACTGATTTACTGCAATAATCTCACATGATAAGCCCACTGATTTACTGCAATAATCTATCTCACATGATTTGCCCACTGATTTACTGCAATAATCTATCTCACATAATTAGCCCACTGATTTACTGCAATAATCTATCTCACATGATTAGCCCACTGATTTACTGCAATAATCCTACATGATTAGCCCACTGATTTACTGTAATAACCCTACATGATTAGCCCACTGATTTACTGCAATAATATATCTCACATGATTAGCCCACTGATTTACTCCAATAATCCTACATGATTAGCCCACTGATTTACTGCAATAATCTCACATAATTAGCCCACTGATTTACTGCAATAATCTATCTCACATGATTAGCCCACTGGTTTACTGCAATAATCCTACATGATTAGCCCACTGATTTACTGCAATAATCTATCTCACATGATTAGCCCACTGATTTACTGCAATAATCTCACATGATTAGCCCGCTGATTTACTGCAATAATCTCACATGATTAGCCCACTGATTTACTGCAATAATCTCACATGATTAGCCCACTGATTTACTGCAATAATCTATCTCACATGATTAGCCCACTGATTTACTGCACTAATCTCACATGATTAGCCCACTGATTTACTGCAATAATCTCATATGATTAGCCCACTGATTTACTGCAATAATCTCTTCTGTTTTCTTCCTGACTAATTTTGCTTGGGGGGGGGGGAGGTTCTTATAATTAATGTCTTTTGGTTCATGTGTGCGATGGGGGGTGGGGTGGGATGGGGGAGGGGGGGTCTTATAATTAATATCTTTTGGTTCATGCGTGGGGTGGGGTGAGATGGGCTTTCATAATTCGAATCTTGTAAATTTAACACTAAAAGCTAGAAAAGACACGTTTATTGAACATAATAGTAAAAAAAAGCATTGGCCTCAGAATGTGGTGAACATTTTTTAGCTACCAACGTTGGTTTTTTTACTATTATAGAAAAAGAAAAGATCAGTTCTGCTTACTTTGGCACATTTAAAAATGTTATAATCGTGTTAGCGTCGAATTGAGTTTATGCGCTCACAAGGATTACGTTCTGCTTACTTTAAGTATCGATTTTTAGCGCAATTTCCATTCTGGAGAATTGCGTTTATTAACCCGTCATTTCTGGATGTATGAATGTATGAATGAATGGATGGATGTGTGTCCGCAGCTTTAAGTCGTATCTCCTCCTCAACGAAGCAATATCGATGACTAGTTCCAAAAGCAATTATGTTAAGCAAGTTACGAGGATGAACATAGGCTATAAAAATTCCGGGTTTCTTTCATGGATTTCCCGGAAAAGCCAAAAAAAACTCGAAAAAAAGCAGTTTTTGGCCTATATCTCGGCAACCAGACCACTTAGCGACTTGAAACATGTACCAATCGATTCCTGCCATAATTTAGAACAATATTGCCGAAGAAAGTTTTCAAAAATATCCTTTCGTTCGGTCACAAATTTTTTTTTTTAATTAATTAAAATTTGGACCGAATTAGAAGGCATTTTTTCCTACCACACCACACGCGTCATCACGTTCAATAGCTGCACCATCACGTTCTATGGCTTCGTCATCACGTTCAGTAGCTAGGCGCGCAATGGTTTTTAGTCATGTAACTCTATTGTAAATAAAACATGTAAAATACTGAAATTTTTTTTTAATAAAAAACGTTGTAATAACTAACCAATGGTTTTACTAACCCTGCTCTTGATTTACGCTACGACAGAGCTATTTTTAGATAACATAAGGAAATTGCGCTAAAATTGTCACTAGACTTTTTAATTAACTTGTTTAATCTGCTCTTAACAAGTGGATTCGTTAACTCGATACTTTCATAAAACTTGCGACATGTTAATAGGCTAATAGTGGGGTTCAGAACTTTGATCAGCATAATGAGATGTGACAGCCATTATGGCTAGTGTTTGGACACGACGAGGTAAAAAAGACAACGTATAAAAAACAATAACGTAACA